GGGTTGTGTTTGAATTGCGCTGGCTCTGCCCCTGATCTGCCTCCTTGTCAGTCTCCAATCCTATGGGGAGGCATTGTGATTGGATCAAGCTACCACTTCTGATGATGTCAGCAGACTGCTTTTTTTTTTTTTTAGGCAAACAGCATGCAGATCTACAGCTTCAGGCTTGAATACAGTAAGATTTTGCTATATTTATGGAGGCATGAGGGGCCCAGGGGGGCTAGATGGTGGTTTTAACACTATAGTGTCAGGAATACATGTGTTCCTGACCCTATATTAATCCTTTAAGTTTTATTCCACAGACTTTGTCTAAAGGGGGTCATTGACTTTCCCTCTCTACATCTTGGCTCTATTTTTGAGTAGCCTGTAGATGTTAAATGTTTTGGCCATAGCAGCTTGCCGATATTTTTACACACATCAACCCTGCAATTGTATTAATAATGCTTAGTGAATTATTTTTTAACAGTAAGCATTGGAAAGTCCAGTCATTTTATGACCTTTTACAATGCAACATTTCACTTTTGCTCTGAATTAGCGCCTTTACTAACACTGTAAGAGACTAAATAGTTCCCTTCAGTAATGGGACCCCGATTGTTTCTTATCACTGAATGACAATAACTTTCTTCTCTACGATAAATTAACCCCATGGAACAAAACTCTTGTAACATTTTAAACCATTACTCCTGGCGTATGTACTTTTATACTTTTAGTATTTGACAGATTCCATTTTGCCGGAGTAGCAACCTACTTTTTGGAAGTATGTACCATCTTAGCACACAGTATCAGAATGATTTTGGTCTACTCTTCCTGGCAAAATTGCTACAGGTTGTTCGAGATGGTTTTAAGTTCTTTAAGAACTGTCAGAGTTTTAGCACTTCAGATTTTTTGCGCCATACATTTTTCTCTAAACGTTAACGAGATGTCCTGTGTCTGATGATGACTATCTGTCAACTTCTCATACAGATAGCTCCTTCAAAATGATTGCTGGTGTTTCTGTGTTTTTGTAACACAAGGCTCATCCTACTTTGAACAATGTATTTTACAGGATGCTATTTTACTCCCGGAGCCTGGGTGGCGTTCTCTAGCAATCTCTTCTTCATTCTTTACCGGCTATACTAAATAATATTTTAAAACATAAATATATTATATGTTGTCGTATTTATTTCATAATGTAGTCTTGGTGTTCATTTATTTCTAACTGCTATAATAAATGTTTTTCTTCAGGTCCGCAGTTTGACCAGGGATCATACAACAGTCGGGTTTCCATCCTGAAACGTAGCAGTAAGTTTAATGCTTCACAGGTGGAGGCCAATGGTAAGGTTATTGTATCCTCATAAGGTCAATTTATTTCATCTGTGTAAACTGGGAGCTTCCACAGCACATGGGCAAGCACATGGGCAAGCAATATATTTTTCAGTTTCTCATTTTTCCTACAGAAATTACCATCATAAAAACAATTGATTTTTAATTTCAGTGTGTTAGAATAGCTAAGAAAATGGAATTCAAATAATCATTTGTCATTCAATATATGAGAATCAACCAATGGTCTGAATCCATCTGCAAGACACTGTTGGCATTTTACTGACAAGACACATTAAGTTATCATGAATAACAGACACAATTTTGACATATTAGCATCTTTAAAGTATAGCTCTAAGCACCACTATAGCTCATTGTAGTGTTTTAAAATTTCCTTTTCTTTAGCAACCCTTCTGCCTGTCTCTCTATCCATCCATGCATCCATCCAACCATATGTCTCTCTGTCTTCTGTCTTCGCGTCTGTCTGCCCATCTGTATTTCTGCCTATTTATAAAGCTATATAAACATTTTCATCAGTGGTGCATAACATTGCTCTATAATTATCATTTTATATAAATGTTGTATCACTTTATATAAATACGGTAATGTGTGTTTTACTTTTAAACATAGATTAAAAGGACATTCCAGGCATCAAAACAGCTTTATGTAAATTGAGTTGTTTTGGTGACTGGAAGGCCCCACGAGGCACTCTCACCTCAAGGGATTAAATGGAAGTGCAGAGTTCCACCGGGCAGGGGCGCCGCTGATTGGTTGGGAGCGGTCAACTGGCGCTCTCAGCCAATCAGTGACTCCTCATTTAATATACTGGCTTGAAAAAGGTATGATTTTTTTGCAAGTCAGTTTTGTGAATGAGGAGTCACTGATTGGCTGAGAGCATCAGCTGAGCGCTCTCAACCAATCATTGACAACTCTTCCTGGCTGCACGCTCTTCTTCCTAAATCTCAAAATTCCAGGGGAAAAGTGGAGGCCAGCGCTGGAGGCAACTTAGAGCTTAAACCGTCTGAGAACGGTTTAACCCACTAAGGTAAGAGTGCGTCCAGGGGCCCTGTGGCACCAAAACAACTTCATGTAGATGGAGTTTTTTTGGTGCATGGAGTGTTTCTTGAATACTCATGGAAGGGTTTATTAAATTGATTTAACTTTTATTCAATCTGATCTATTTCAGTGTAAGTTTCGGAAGCCCTTTACAAACCCATGTAATAAATTTCACCTTACAGTAAAGATAGGGCCACTACAAAACAAAACTGCTTTTAATGTCATGTTTAAAAGAAAATTATATATTTGCTGAAACAGTGCATTCAATATTAAAGGATATATTGGTTAAGGGCATCTGGAACTGGTTATAGAGGTAGTAAATAATTTTAAAACTGACTATTTTTTAAGAAACGAATTTACAACAGAGCTTTAAGAACTGAAATATTTGCTGAATATTACCTGACAGATGAATTTAGGGATGTAGAGATGAGAAATGGATATTAAATATAGTGAGAGCGGTGAAACGTGAGCTGGTGAAATGAGTTTAAAAAGGATTAGGCACTAGACAATGAAGACTGCTTTGGAAACTTTTTAGTATGGAGCAACTTATCATGGACCATAGGATATGTTAGATGTGTTGCATGTAAATACTATAGGGTATATGATCAGTGTAGACCCTTGCAGTGGAAATTCTCTATATATATGCCGGACTAATGAACTTTAATTCAATATAAGGTCTTGGATATAAGATTTGTGCATTCAGTTTCAAATGAATGGCAATATGACCGACTTATCGTCAGAATTCCATAACTCCAAATCACCATATGACCGAATCACAAAGCAAACAAGGAATTGACAAGCCTTTTCATTTGTTCTGGGATTCGGATTAACATTCTGTAGGGCGACAAAAATTATGACTGATGGTTAAAAAGAGGATAGGGTCAGCCACTAAGTATTTCTTTTACTCATAGATCAAGGGAGAAGTGACCAACAAAGGGAGGGGGGGGAGGTGGGGAGGAGGAATCAGTAAAAAAAATTAAATTCTAATTTATAAATTTTAGATTTAAAAAATATATAAAAATCTTTTTTTTTTTTTTTTTTTTACTGCGCTTCTTTTTCCCTCTCAATTGGTTATTTCTTCTCACTTAATCTATAAACCGAATGGTGCAATAAAGCTCCTATCAGTTTACTTCAAAATATCTACATAATAATTAGATTACCATTAAATTGGGTAATAGTAACAACCCTTGGATGTTGGGTTAAGGTAGCATCCTCAGGAAGTACTTGAAAACCAGAGTTATCTGAATGTACCTTTCCTGGTTAAATACTTTGTTATTATTATCATATATTTTGTAGTACACAAATAGGCGCATTTTTGGATTGTAAGAATAATTTATCCTTGAAATGATCGGATTGGACAAAATTTGCCAGAACTAAAAGCTGCATGTATGAAACCAGAATCGCCCAAAAAAAAAAATGAAAAAAAAATTGGGTGAAACAACCTAGACGACAAATTGTTCAAGAATCTACAAAACCTCGATAATCACTAAATTAAGGATCAATTACTTATTCTTTTTTAATCTTATTTATGTTTATTTTACAAAGAATTACAAATTAGTATCAGTCCTCGGTCCACCCCTCTTTATCAATTGTGGTTTAATATTACTGCAATAGTACAGCTGTATTTGACATAATTATACAAGGTAATATTAATCTGGGAGTAACTTTCAGTATGCATGGACATGATTACTTCATTTATAAAAAAAAACATGAATGAAGACACACATAACATTATAGAAGCTATACCCATGACTTCTAGTACTTTGTACAAATAGCTCAATTTATTGGTTTTCATCAGCAAATCCGTTTATAGACAGTCTGCCTTGTTTCATATCTTTCAGTACATCTGAACCCACATTGCAATAAAAATAATATAACTTGCACAAACATAAAAGTCACGAATGCCGCTATTTGCATTTAGCTTCTATTACCCGGTGAAAAATACTTTTTTTTAAATAGTATGTCTCGTGTTTTTCTTGAATAAAGTAATTCCTTGCAGGTTTGCATTGGGTTATACAGCTTTCAGTACAAAGCTGATTATTTATCTGTAACTCCGATACATTTTTGATTTGCAGGGGCCTATGGGATACACACAAGGCAGCCATGAAAAATACGGGAGGCAGGGTAGACGCGTACACTAGACGTGTTCTTAAAAGGTAGTTCAAGTACTTTGCCATAGTAACCACTATCCAGTAACCTCATTCATGCAATTTAAAACTTCCAACTATGTATTAATAGACTATATCTCCCTTCCCCGTGTGTCTGGAAAAGCAAGGCAGTGTAATATGTACGCAGGAAATGCATAGGTAATAAACAGACAATACAGCGCTAAGTTGATAAAAGCTTATTCATTTCAAATGCAAGTTCAAAGGCCTGGGTCAAGGTATAAAGAAGTCTTAGATTTAACAGCAAGAAAATTGAGGACAGAAGAATCTATAAAAAGCAGAGACACGTGTAAATCTAGACAGGGAATACACATTTGTAGAAAAAAAAAATAATAAAAACATTAACTTTGTTTAACTATTTATTCAGCAGAGCATCTGCATCAAGTTAAGTTTTCCGAACCCCTACAGTGAGGTTCTTGTTTAAGTCTGTCGATATACCAAAGCACAGATATAAAAGACAGCTGAATGTTTCTCCCTAGTGACTGATCCGCATGTTTTCTTAATAAACCAGCTCTGAATGTGACCTTCCTGTGTTGCTCCTTTGGCAAAAAAAGTGCCCTATCTTCTTTCATTCACTTCTTGTGAGACTTAAGCTATCCCTTAAGGTGTGAAAAATACAGTACATGACAGCTACTTAATAAGACATGTCTGTCAGCTACACTGACCTGGGGAAGGTTTGCTCAACTACAAACAGAGACTTAATTCTGAGTTCTACAGACGTTACAATGAAGCAGTAATCATTGCATTTTTATGTTTCATTATAATACGCTGGAAGGCTCTCTATGTGAGGTCATTTCCATTTCAAGCCAATAGCCACTGTCTTATAAATGACAAATTGGGCCATTCATGAAAATCACTACCATATTAACCTGTTAATGGCTGGACTGCTTAGTTATTAAAATAAACATTTTCTTGTAGAATCAAGAACTCAAAGGGTTAACAGCATTCCCACCTCCACCAGAAGACTTCAGTTAAGTTGTAAATACATTTCCAAGTCATGGTTTATATATTTTTCTTTCCTCTTTTTGTTATTTAGTCCGATCACAGAACATGTTTAAAATACAAATAATGAAAAATTATTCCTTAAACATGTGGATAAAACAACTATAACTCTTTAGCTAAACCTCACATGCTACTTCCTCTCTTTGGAAAGTGCTCCGTTCAATCAAGGGACGAGCGGGTATCATCTGTCAAAGAAAAGTTATTGTGAAGTGTATTTCGCTGTATCGCATTCAGAGTCCCAAACACCATCTGGTTTCCTAGCAAAAGGCAACAACGTGTAATATTAATCGTATCAAAAAGTAGCCGTCAGCTCTCCCAGAATTCCAAGATCCAGCTTAAAAACCAGTGCAACTCTCCCATGCAACTCAACGTCAGTGACATTAAAAAGGAAAAGAAAAACGTTGCAGTCATCTTTCTTAATACCAAACACGAGAGACCAACAATCCGTCTGCTACTATATTTTCCAACAAGAGACACTTTTTTTTGTCGTTAATACATTCCTAACAACATGTGTTTCGAATAAAAGTTTTTTTGTTTTTTTTCTTCGTAAAAGTAGCAAGGGTACTAAAACTCTTCAAATCCAGTTTCCGTAAGAATACCATTTGTATATTAAACGCATCCTTTTACATTTCAGCGAGCGTCTATGGTACAAAAAGTTGACAGGCAGAAGCAACAAACTGTCTGATCGCATAGCAACTGGGCAAAATAGCAAAAAAGTGTTAAACACTTACCGATTCAACAGAACAGAGGAGATGGTAGATCCGTGGATGGAGAGTTTGTAACTGCACTAGGAGAGGGAGGAGAGTGGATAACAGGAGGCTGGATTGGATGCTGCAGTGGTTGCAGGCAGCAACAGCAGCTTGTCTAGAAGTCTATGTGTAATTCCTTCGTGTGAGCGAGTGGGTAATGTTTTCAGTGGGAGCTCTGTGCCTGTGGATGGAGGGACGTACACTGACTCACAGGTATTGGCACTGCATTCCTCTTTAATGGGCCGCTTTCATTTCTCCAATCATGGATCAGTGAAAACTGACTACAGTTCCCTCTACTTGCTACAACATCTAATCCCATGGAGACTCATACCAGAACAAAACGGCCAGGAGGCAACAAAATCAACCAGCCTCCGAAAGGATGCCTAAAAGTAAAAAAAAGAAAATGTAAATAAAAATATACGTATGTAAATATATATATATATATAGAGAGAGAGAGAGAGAGAGAGAGTTTTCTCAATCCTCCTTTAAGTCGTTCAAATGGTTAAAAAGAAACTAAATGCTACTAAGAACTTTGAATATTTCCAACATAAATTCACGGATGACTAATGAGTTTTAAAATATCTTGATTCATCGTGTGTGTTTTTTTAAGCATATGCATCTTTTTAAATCTTTTTTTTTTTTTTAAATGAACGCCAGTGAAAGTGAGAAGACTGGAGAATGTTAGCCAATGTTAACCCCTTACGTGCTGCATTTATAACAAAAACGAAGGACGCTGTTTACTAAACAGCAGACATTGATACATTTGACGTGTAAAATTAAAGCAAACCAGTACGAATGGAATAAATATATTCAGCTCGGCTGAATTTTAAAAGTTATCTAAATGCGGCTATTTAGACTATACGTTTCTGTCCTGTTCTCCTGCTTTCTGAAGCCTTGCTGCTTAGTGGATAAACCCCATGTTAACACTATACAAAACCAAAAACATATATTTTTTTAAAATAATTTTCAGTCATTTCATAAGCCCATATATTTTTCCAACTAGGAGAACGGTTATGAGTTGGAGCATGCTGCTGACTGTTTCTGAAAAATTCTGAAAAATTTAAATATAAGTCACACACAGCAAATCGGATTAGGATTACATATACTCTGTTAGACATGCTTTGAATTCTAAATGAAATCATCAGACGTAGAAATGTAGAATTATAAACGAGCTGGGATATCCACTTACTCTTCTCCGCAATGTTTACATGTCCAATGTTGGCTGTAACTTTACTACAAAATACAAAAAGCCTCTTGCAGGGCAGTACGTTAAAGACAGACTTCAAGAAGCCCGGAGTTCTGAAAAGCCCAACTGCATAATCTATTAATTGGTGGCTATTAAGGTGGTGTTTGACTGCGAAGAGCACACAGAAGTCTGATTGTGAGTGAGGAGTGTTTCCAATGAAAGTGAAGTTATTTTAGCTGCAGACGTGTTTACATTTCTGTGGTTTAGTCTATAACTTTCCCTTTTTCTTACTTCGGGATTCTGCTCCGTGAAGCAAAGCCCTCAGCTCCCAGACATTCCAAAAAGTCTGCCAAATAATAGGGAAAAAAAATAAGAAATAATAAAATATACGCAGAGACCCCCAAGCCAGAGTGAGCCTAGGAAATGATTACATAGAGTTAGTGTCCAGTAGTCTCTTATTTTTCCCCCCCAATCCCTCCCAAATTCACTCCTTCGACACTTTTATTTTCCTGCTTTGCTCTTTTTCTCTTTTCTTTCCAAAAAAGAAGTCCTTCAGGGCTCCATTTCCTGTTTGTGAGAAAAAATAATAAAATGATCCCAATACAGAATTGGAATCGATCATCTTCAGGTGCTTTGGCGAATATCTTTTGTTTTCTGCAAATAAATGGAAACTTGGAATAAAATTACGAGTAAAATATAATTCCGCTCTTATATGTTCACCAAAGTGTTGTTATTGCCTTTCTATTACCTATTTATACAACTCGTGTGTTCCTGATTTTCTAACCCACCTGTGTAGGCCAGAGTAGCCTAACTTGTGTTCACTACAATTCCCATGATGCTCTGGTGTTCAAGTAGTTTGGAATCATATTTCTCACTCTGCCCTTCAGATTAGTCGGTCAAAGTTTAGACATCAATGGTCTTGGCTTGGTGTCGGTAGAGTAACTGTCCAAAAAGTCTAAGTCGAGGTTTTATTACTTTATACTTTGTTTTAAATCAAAGTTTAACAGATTAATTCTTTGGGATTTTCTGTTTGAATCTGACTGATATTAATGTGTTCAGACTGATTTTAAAGTGTTCCAAAAATTACAAATCACCTTTTTGATGATATTGCCATAAAATTCTAAAATATCCAAATATTGCACTTCTACCTGAAGCTATACAATAGTCTACTAGCAAATCTTGGTATATATTGTATTATAACATGCAAAAATAAATTACATGAAGTGGATATGAAACTATACCAATATTCAATACACATTGTGGGTCTAATGTGTTTTCAGATAGAACAGAAAAAAAAGATATCTCAAATGTGGTAAAATGGATGGGTCCATCCAGAAAATGGAGTGGAAACAGGCCCAGAATGGCCATTGGGCAAACCGGGCAAATGCTGGAAGCGGAGATCAGAGGATCATACAGGCCCATGCAGTGTAGCTCTACTGTGTGCCATGAAGGGCCATTGGGGAGATCGAAGATCTCCTTCACCAGCCGAAGGTCAATGAAATACAGAGCAGGTGAGAGGTGGACCTGGCAGCTCTAGCCAGCATCTTCTAAATGTTTGTCTTGCAAGGTCAAAGAGTGGCAACTGTTACCATGGCAACCCTCCGACCAGATCTTGCGAGAGGACTGAATTATGCTTGCAGCTGGAGGAGCTGCAGGCCTTAGTTACTTACCACCACACCTCCACAGTTTGGAATGTATCCCCTCCCAGGGTAAAAGTAAGAAGGGAGGGAGAATATAAAGGTGTTTTTTGTTTTTTTTAAATGAATAAATATATTTCCAAGTTTATTTATTGATTTATTTTTATGTAAAAAATAAATAAATAAGTATATATATTTCCCTCCATCTGCCCCTCTCACACTCAATACAGGCCTGTACCAGTCCCAACACATTCACACACTTTACCACTCTTACACATTACACCCTTCACACATACATGCATGGCATCCCTCACACACACATTGCATCCCTCAAGCATACATTGTACCCCTCACACACACACTTCATTACAGACAGACACACTACATCCCTTATACACACTCTGGATCCCCTACACACACTAGGTCCACTACACATATACAAGATCCTGTATACACACTCTGGATATTACACACACACACACACAATAGACCACCTACACACATACTGCATTACTGACATACACACTCTGGATCCTCTATGTGCATACAAGATCCACTGTACACAAACACACACACTAAACACACTGCATTCCCTAAACGCACACTCTCTACCGCCCTTACACACACTACATCACCTACACACACTATGCCCACTATACACGCACACTCTCTCACTCTCTATTGCTGCTAGCCACACATATTACACCACAAACACAACGGAATTATAACCAACCTATTTACACAAAACACCACACCACAATCAGCTCACTCTACACACATGCAATCCCACAAGCAGCCTTCAAACCAGCGGTGTATTTACTGCGAGGCTGACAAGGTATTTGCCTTGGGCGGCACTTTCATGGGGGCGGCAAAAAAAGCTGCTCCTTCGCTGCCCGCCTCCACTCTGCGCCTGCCTGCCCGACCACCCGCCGAGCTGCAGCCAACCCTACTGGAACACATGGGAGAATCTTTATTTAATTTTTATTTTATTGTAAATTGTGTGTGTGTGTTAGTGTGTGTGTGTGTCTGTTAGTGAGTGTGTGTCTGTTAGTGAATGTTAGCGTGTGTGTGTGTCTGTTAGTGAGTGTGTGTCTGTTAGTGAATGTTAGCGTGTGTGTGTTACTGTGTGTGTCTGTTAGTGAGTGTTAGTGTGTGTGTATGTCAGTTTTTGTCTGTTAGTGAGAGTGTGTGTGTTCCACTTAGTGAGTGTGTGTGTGTGTCTGTTAGTGAGTGTGTGTGCGTGTGTTAGTGAATGTGTGTGTGTCTGTTATTGAGTGTGTGTGTCTGTTAGTGAGTGTTAGTGTTTGTCTGTTAGTGGCAGTGTGTGCCTGTAGTGAGTGTGTTAGTGTGTGTCTGTTAGTATGATTGTGTGTGTGTGCGCCTGTTAGTGAGTGTGTTAGCGTGCGTTTGTTGGTGAGCGTTAGTGTGTGTCTGTTACTGAGAGTGTGTATGTCAATGAGAGTGTATGTTTGTTTGTCAGTGAGTGTGTATGTGTTTTTCTCAGTGAGAGTGTATACGTGTGTCTGTCAGTGTGTATCTGTCACTGAGTGTGTCTATCAGTGTATGTATGCGAGTTTCAGTGTGTGTCAGTGCGCGTATCCGTGTCTATCAGTGTGTGTATGCGTGTCTATCACTAAGAATGTGTGTCTGTCAGTGAATGTGTATGTCTGTCAGTGTGTGTTTGTCAGCAAGTGTATGTGTGTCTGTCAGTCAATGTGTGTGTCTGACACTGGGTGCCTGTATGTCTGTCAGTGAGTGTTGTATATGTGTTTGTCAGTGTGTATCTGATAGTGAGTGTGTGTGTGTGTCTGAGTGAGTGAGTGGGTATGCATTTCTCTCAGTGAGTGTGCATGTGTGCATGTGTGCCTTGTCAGTGAGTGCGTATGTGTCTGTCGGTGAATGCATGTCTGTCACTTAGTGTATATGTGTGTCTGTCAGTGAATGTGTGTGTGTGTGTACGTGTGCGTGTAACTGTGAATGAATGAGTGTATTTCTGTGAATGTGTATGTTTCAGTGAAAGTGTGTGTTGGTTAAACAGTGTATATGTGACAATGACTGTGTATCAGTGAGGGTGTGTGTCTGTCAGGAAGAGATATTTGGAGGGGGTGGTGTGTGCCCCTTTTTTATCATGCCTAGGGCAGTACAAATCAAGAATACACCACTGCTCCAAACATATGCACAATATGCTTTCCTAGCCCTTTTGTCCTCTGTTATCCACTTCTTATAGAGACACCAGAGACAAATCACAAACAAATAAAATGTTAAACAAGAGTGTCATTAAATGCTGTCCTACAAAATAAGGGCTGTAATGCCGTTTATGTGGCATAACATGCCCCAGTGATAGGGCCCTCCCTGCAGACTGTATACTTACACTCCTCACTGGATCTGATACACTTAGAATGAGACTATATATATATTTTCATTCTAAATGTATTTACTATACTAATTATTTGTAATTATATTATTTTATTAAAGGGACATAATAGTCACCAAAATAACACCATAAAACCTGGACATGGGGTACTGTTAGAGC